TCGAATTATTCGTTTTATTCGAATTATTCGCATTTGTTCTATTCGCTCTATTCTCGTTTCATTCGAATTACTTGCCATTTATTTCTGACCAACTTAGAAGTATGGTTGATAGTCCAAACCAGACAATGATTTGGATATCATTAAGCTTAAATTGGAACAAAATGAAAATGGTTTTAAAAATGTTCTTAAGGCAATTGAGAAAAGACTTGGCAAAATGAAAATAATCTTGAAGAAATTAAATGCTTATCATGTATTTTACTAATTATAGATAAATATTGCATCCTGATGTTATTTAGTTTTGGTGATAAGGATGTGAAAAGTTCAACTGCTTTTAAAACCATTTAAAAATGGCTTAAATTTTCACAATTATTTTGTCAAGTGCGGAGGGTGTGGAAGAATCCATACACTACAAAAAAAAATTAGAATACTAATATGGAATTTTATGACAATTTATTTATGATTATGGATGTCAAAAAATCTCCTTCTTGATATTACAAACTCATGAATCACATAATTCAACAAATATATACAAGTTATAAAAAACTAAAGCTCCGAACGGTTCGGTTCGGTTTGAATGGGTTTTAGGCTAAAAATTACTTGGCAGTTCTTGGTATTCTGATTTTTGCACTCTGCTTATTTAGAATTAAATTTATTAATTTCTAACCTAATAACAACCAGTGAACGAGTTTTTTCTGGAGTCACACTCAAAGGCGTTGTGTTTTAGAACCTGAAACAATAAGAGTTTAAAATTTTGCGGAGACGGTGATTCTTATATATGAATTGAAGAAATAGAACGTCTTTAGGATTCCATTCAAATTATTTGTTTCGTTCGCTATGAATTTGAGTATTTGAATGAAATTGAAAGTTTAGTCGAATTAAACGAATGAAACGAATGAAACAAGTAACTCGAACAAAACAAATAAAGTGAAAAAACGAACAAAACAAATAAAACGAATGAAACAAGTAATTCGAATGAAACGAGAATAGAGCGAATAGAACAAATGCGAATAATTCGAATAAAACGAATAATTCGAATAGAATAAAGTGAATAAACGAATAATTCGAATAAGAATTTGTATTACGAATAGAAACTCTAAAGGTACAAATTTTTCCATTCTAATTCGGTAAGAAATGGACCATCGTTACCATGGTATAAAAATTAGATTATGTATGTAATTAGAAACAGGATCCTTCCAGCATCTCTGCTTCGCAACGCATTCGCTAAAACTAAGCTACAAGTTATTATAAATTTTTTGAAGTTATTATGTATATTTTGCGTAGTTAACGGATTTAATATGTCTGAAATTTTTGGGTCAAATGTGAATCGAACCAAACCGAACCGTTCGGAGCTTTAAAAAAAACTTTTAGAATGTCAACTGATGATGTTTCAATGGATAATAATTGGTATTTTAATCATTGTGGGCATGGGTAAACACATGCTTGCTATATCACATATGCTTTGATTTTTTTTTTTTTTTTTTTTGAATTGTTGGTTCGTTATAACCACATCTTACTCTTCCCATCTGATGACAAAAGAATAAAAATTTTATTTCATCTAGAAGTTTAAAATTAATAAATAAAGAATCGTAATGCTCGTTCGCAGCTTACCAGGTAAAGCGTGGGTAGGTGCCGTGATGCCTGAAACGAAAGTTAATAATGGACGACGTTAGTTGTCGTTAAATTAATTCAATGAATTTTAAAATTAAATATTTTCGTAAACATCACACAAAGACATGATGAAATTCATAATAATAAATAAGAACAATATCAAAATCGAAATAAACGAACAAGAATTCATTTGTTCATTAATTTTTAAGTTTATTTTTTGACAAGAATTTAAAAATTGACGGAAAATTATTTGAGGAAGCAATAAACTCGTCTATTTTATATCCGATTCACCAACACAAACATAGTGACGAAAAGGAAGGTTTACCTTAAAACATTCTGGCGGCGCAAAGCATCTATTTACAAATGAATGAATTTCACATATGTTTTTTTTCCATCAAAAGTTTTTTTTTCAAAGTTCGCAATCAATGAGAATTATTCTGGCAAGTATTTTAAAAAGGAAATCTTTGTCTTAAAGCATTTATTTTTTTTAGTGATGGTGACACTATTTTGCAACAACAACAATCACATATTCTTTTATCCGATTGAACTTAATAGTTCTCTTTAACATTTTCATCTTCTGATTTACCACAAGATTTAGTTGCAAGATTGTTTCCCATTGATTGTTATAAATTTTGTATTTTGTAAAGTTTAATAAAAATGATCTTTGAAAAAATCAATATTTCCACAACTTCAATATTTGGAAGCGTATAAGCGGTCACAACAATAAATGTCAGATAGAGATGATAATATGATGATGATAAAAACATAAAGTGTAATAATAATAACAATAAAAGTATTTAGTAACAGTAACAGTAATAATAATGGTGGTGGTGGTGGTTTATAAAATGTCATCATCCCAAAATTGGACCTATTCCAATGCAGAAGATCATCCGAAATTTTTGCCACCATAGACTTTTCTACTTCCTAACTTGGCACATTATAATGAATTCTGCTTCATATATTATTGTTATTATAATAATTTCTGCAGTTCATCGGCCGACCACAAACTAACCTCCAAATACCAAAATTCATAATCAAGAAACTAGAAAAGGATGGTGGTAATGTTACTATACAGATTATCAATCTTTGGAAGATAATTTTTGCAAAAGAAAAAGGAAGAAAAAGAAAAGGATTTGGTTAGAAACATGCAAGTACCACTTTCAATATCTTCACATCTTTTTATTGTCACTGCAAAAAAAAAAAAAATAACAAGTTTATTTTTTATTTCCTTTACTCTAAAATTAAACAAATAAATAGTCCACAAGTTGCATCATCACTTTTCTTTAGACATAATACAGCTTTAGGTCCACCATATCATATATTAGTCGATACAAATTTTATAAATTTTTCAATTCAAAATAAATTGGAACTTATACAAGCTATGATGGATTGTTTATATGCTAAATGTAAGTTGATACAAATTTATATTTGTGTGTGTATGTACATGTGGGGTGTGTTTTTTCGTGTGTAGGTGGTTTTTATGTGTATATGGGTGTTGGTAGATATTAATCTTTTTTTTTGATTGATTGATTGTTAGGTATTCCGTGTATAACAGATTGTGTAATTGCAGAATTGGAAAAATTAGGTCCAAAATATCGAATTGCATTACGGTAAAAAATTCGAAAAAATTATAATCACTATCATCATTATCATAACATGCATTTGTAAAATTTTTTAATTTTTTTATTAACCAATAATAGAATATCTATATATAGATGATTGGTATTTTTTATATATACTAATACATATGTTTAACGTATCCAATAAAGTGATTCTTTCAAGTTTTAAATCTCCGTAATAGTCTGATAATCATTCAGATAATCATTCGAAAAAAAATCTAGGCAATTCTTTAATTTTTTTAGTGTTTCAAATAAATTCATATGATAGATTATTATCTAACGATTTTACTATTGCTTCTATTAATTGTCTCATTTGATTAATTCATTTAACAACTTATCAGAATGCATCTTTTAAAGATTTTTATCTTAATATTAATTTCATATCTAGTATTGCCATGAAAAATCAGTGAAAGAGAATTGCAAAAAAAATTTTATAAATTGATTTAAACATTTAACCACATGGTTAAATCCTTCTCACTGGATGAAAATCCCATTGTATCTTTATCGATATTGATAGTGAGTGATTTTTTTCCAATACATAAGATTGGTTTTAATGGTCATTGATCTTGAACTTGTAAAAAAAAGAGGGAGAGTGGACTGAGTGAGTCGTGGTTTCTGTTTATTCAGATTATTCGTTTTATTCGTTATGAATTTGAGTATTCGAATAATTGCATTGAAAGTTTATTCAAATAAAACAAATAATTCGAATAAATTTGAATAAAATTATAAATAATAA